TCTTTCCCTCCAGGTCAGCCATCTGGACATTACTCTCTTATGTGGCATCTGCTATCTTTTGCTGCAGTACAGACCACCCCTAACTTAGTGACAAACATATATTTAGTTCATTATTCTGTGGGTTAGAATTTGGGCTGACCTCAGGTGAATGGCTCTTCTGATATTGACTGGACTTGCTTGAGCATCTGGGCATAGCTCCTGGGCATCTTCACAGTTCTGCTTCTGGGTGTTAGTTGTCTGATGTTTGAGTGGTGGACACCAATGAGCCATGTATTGCTGACCCTCTAGCAGGCTTATTCCCATGGAAGTCTCAGAATTCAGAGAACAGCAAGAGAGGATGCCCAAATGACCAGCATTTTTCCAATTCTGTTTATGACTCATTTGCTACTGTCCCATAGGTCAAACGCAAGTCATGTGACCAAGCCCAGAGTTAATGTAGGAATTCACTACCAAAAGGCTTGGATACAGAGAGGGGCATCATAGATATTGTTACCAAAAAAAATTCTACCACACATATTTTTTGAAAACCTCCAATATTCACACTTGGAACTGGATAGTGTGTCTGCATTTTGGTCTCAGTGACTTCATTCTTAAATGAAGACAGTAACACTCCCCTGGCAAGCGTGCTTCAAACTCACCCAGTGAAACAGTTTATGAAAAAGAGTATTGTTAAATATAAAACAACATGGAGTACAGTCTTATTCAGGAATTAAGTGGCAAAGCAAAAATCAGGGAGTCAGAATTACTACTGAAAAATCCTTAAATCACTGAGAGAGCAAAGTTCAGTTAGCTTTGTGTTGAGTAATTATGGAGATTAAAATTTGAAAGGTTTTGATTGAAGCCAAAGGAATTAATTAACAAAAGTTCAGTCTATATACAGATGTCTTGTCATGCTATCTGTTTTACTTTATAGGTAACAGTCAAAGCCCTGGTGAATAGAAAATTCCCAAAAGACTCTTCCTGTTTGCAGAGTGCTGTTCCATTTCTTGATCATCAGTTTTCTTTCATCTCAGTACACATTTAGAGATTTGTTTGTTGTTGAAAGATTAATAATGGTAATGGAGTCTTCAGTATGTGCTTTAACTTCTAAAGTCAGTCCTCCAAATTAAATATGCTAGAACATGACTTAACCTTACAAATACAAGGTATTATTATTATTACTATTATTATTATCATTACTACTACTACTACTACTACTACTACTACTACCATTATTATTACTATTACACAATAACTTTCAGGAAATATCTGTAGTGAATAAGGTATTTTTGTTTTTTATTTGTAAGTTTTTTAATTTTTATTTTATATTGGAATTTAGTTGATTAAAAATGTTGTGTTAGTTTCAGGTGTACAGCAAAATGATTCACTTATACATATACATGTATCTATTCTTTTTTCAAATTCTTTTCCATTTAGGTTATTACAGAATATTGAGCAGAGTTCCCTGTGCTATACAGTAGGTCCTTGTTTGTTACCTATTTTAAATATAATAGTGTGTATATGTCAATCCCAAACCCCCAATTTAGCCCTGCCCCCCCTACTTTTCCCCTTTGGTAACCATAGGTTTGTTTTCTAAGTCTGTGAGTCTGTTTCTGTTTTGTAAATAAGTTCATTTGTATCATTTTTTTAGATTCCACATATAAGCCGTATCATATGATATTTGTCTTTCTCTGTCTTACTTCACTTAGTATGATAATCTCCAGGTCCATCCATGTTGCTGCAACTGGTATTATTTCATTCTCTTTAATGGCTGAGTAACGTTCTGTTGTATATATGTACATCATCTTCTTTAATCATTCATCTGTTTATGGACATTTAGGTTGCTTCCATGTCTTGGCTATTGGAAATAGTGCGGCGATGGACACTGGGGTGCATGTATCATTTCGAACCATCATTTTCTCCAGATATATGCTCAGGACTGGGATTGCTGGATCATATGGTAGCGCTGTTGGTTTTTTAAGGAACCTCCATATTGCTTTCCATAGTGGCGTTAGCAATTTACATTCCCACCAAGAGTGTAGGAGGGTTCCCTTTTTCTCCACACCCTCTCCAGCATTTATTGTTAGTAGACTTTTTTTTTTTTTTTTTTTTTTTCCTTGCGTTATGCGGGCCTCTCACTGTTGCGGCCTCTCCCATTTGCGGAGCACAGGCTCCGGACGCGCAGGCCCAGCGGCCATGGCTCACGGGCCCAGCCGCTCCGCGGCACGCGGGATCCTCCCGAAACGGGGCACGAACCCGCGTCTCCCGCACCGGCAGGCGGACTCTCAAGCACTGCGCCACCAGGGAAGCCCTGTTAGTAGACTTTTGATGATGGCCATTCTGACTGGTATGAGGTGATGATATCTCATTGTAGTTTTGATTTGCATTTCTCTAATAATTAGTGAAGTTGAGCATCTTTTCTTCTTTGAAGAAACGTGTATTTAGGTCTTCTGCACATTTTTTGATTGGGTTTTTTTTTTTATATTGAGTTGCATGAGCTGTTTATATATTTTGTAGATAAATCCCTTGTCAGTTGCATCATTTGCAAATATTTTCTCCCATTGTGTGGACTGTCTTTTCATTTTGTTTATGGTTTCCTTTGCTGTGCAAAAGCTTTTGAGTTTAATTGGGTCCCATTTGCTTATATTTGTTTTTATTTCCATTACTCTAGGAGACAGATCAGAAAAGATATTGCTGCAATTTATGTCAGAGAGTGTTCTCCCTATGTTTTCCTCTAAGAGTTTTATAGTATACAGTCTTATATTTGGGTCTTTAATCAATTTTGAATTTATTTTTGTATATGGTGTTAAAGAATGTTCTATTTTATTCTTTTACATACAGCTGTCCAGTTTCCCCAGCACCAGTTACTGAAGAGACTGTCTTTTCTCCACTGTATGGTCTTGCCTCCTTTGTTGTAGATTGACCATAGCTGCCTGGGTTTCTATATTTCTCTTTTTGTGCCAGTACCATACTGTTTTGATGACTTGTAGCTTTGTATTGATAGCATAGTCTAGTCTGAAGCCAGGGAGGCTGATTCCTCCAGCTTCATTTTTCTTCCTCAGGATTGCTTTGGCTATTCAAAGTCTTTTGTGTCTCATACAAATTTTAAGAGTTTTTTGTTCTGCTTCTGTAAAAAATTCCATTGATAGTTTGATAAGGATTTCATTGGATCTGTAGATTGTCTTGGGTAGTATAGTCATTTTGACAATATTGATTCTTCCAGTCCGAGAACATGGTATATCTTTCCATCTGTTTGTGTCGTCTTTGATTTCTTTCATCAGCATCTTATAGTTTATTGAGTACAGGTCTTTTGCCTCCTTAGTTAAGTTTATTCCTAGGTATTTTATTCTTTAGGGTGTGGTGGTAAATGGAATTGTTTCCTTAATTTCTCTTTCTGATCTTTTATTGTTAATGTATAGGAATGCAACAGATTTCTGTGTATTCTTTTAGCTTTTGCTTGTCTATAGTGCTTGGGATTTCTCCATTGATTCTGAACGAGAGCCTTGCTGGGTAGAATATTCTTGGTTGTAGGTATTTCCCTTTCATAATTGTAAATATATAATGCCACTCCCTTTTGGCCTGCAGAGTCTCTGATGAAAAATCAGCTGATAGCCTTATGAGGATTCCCTTTTATGTTATTTGTTGTTTTCCCTTGTTGCTTTGAATAATTTTTCTTTGTATTTAATTTTTGTTAGTTTGATTACTGTGTGTCTCGGTGTGTTACTCCTTGGGTTTATCCTGTGTCAGGCTCCTGTATCCTGCATTTCCTGGACTTGGGTGACTGTTTCCGTTCCTGTGTTGGGGAAATTTTTGTCTATAATATCTTCAAATATTTTCTCAGGCCCTTTCCCTTTTTCTTCCTCTGTGAATGTTGGTGCATTTAACATTGTCCCAGAGGTCTCTGAGACTTCCATCTTTGCTTTTCATTCTTTTTTCTTCTTTTAAATAAATAAATAAATTTATTTATTTATTTTTGGCTGCATTGGGTCTTCGTTGCTCCATGCAGGCTTTCTCTAGTTGCAGAGAGTGGGGGCTACTGTTCGTTGCAGTGCACGGGCTTCTCATTGTGGTGGCTTCTCTTGTTGCAGAGCATGGGCTCTAGGCATGCAGGCTCAGTAGTTGTGGTGCACGGGCTTAGTTGCTCTGTGGCATGTGGGATCTTCCCAGACCAGGGCTCGAACCCATGTTCCCTGCATTGGCAGGCGGATTCTTAACCACTACACCATGAGGGAAGTCCCCCTTTTTTTTTTTTCTTTATTCTGTTCTGTGGCATTGATTTCCACCACTCTGTCTTCCAGTTCACTTATCTGCTCTTCTGCCTTACTCTGCTATTGACTCCTTCTAGTATATTTTTCGTTTCAGTTACGTTGTTCATCCCTGTTTTTTTCTTTGTTCTTTAAATCTTCTATCTATCTATCTATCTCTGTTGAAAATTTTTTATGTCTTCTTGGTCTATACCTCCATTCTTCTTCTGAGGTTTTGGATCATTTACTATCATTTACTCCGAATACTTTTTTTTTTTTTTTTTTGTTCACTGCAACATCCTCAACATTGATGTTATCTTTTTATTCTCACTTACTAGTTTTTTTTTGGTTTTGTTTTTTTTTTTTTCCTTGCGTTATGCGGGCCTCTCACTGCTGTGGCCTCTCCCACTTGCGGAGCACAGGCTCCGGACGCACAGGCCCAGCGGCCATGGCCCACGGGCCCAGCCGCTCCGCGGCACGCGGGACCCTCCCGAAACGGGGCACGAACCCGCGTCTCCCGCATCGGCAGGCGGACTCCCAAGCACTGCGCCACCAGGGAAGCCCCCGAATACTTTTTTTAAGGAGATTGCCTGTCTCCTCTTCATTTAGTTGTTCTTGTGGGTTCTTCTCTTGTTCCTTCGTTTGCAACATATTTCTCTGTCATCTCATTTGTCTAACTGTTTGTGTATGTGGTCTCCTTCCTGCAGGCTGCAGGATCATAGTTCCTCTTGCTTCTGG